GTAGGGAAAACATTCAGAAGAGCGTTTAAAATTATTTCATTAAATTATTTTTAAAAAACCTAAATTTAATTAGTTTAAATAAGAGGAAAAAACAGTATTTCTAGTCTTTTCCTTCCTGCACACTCATGAAGTTTTGGCCCTTTTCTCAGTCTGGCATTTGCATTAACCCCAGGACTCCATGGCCACAGCAGTAAATGCTCGCGTGTGTCGTACAACGTTACTCCAGGTTTTCAGGTTTATTCATCTTTGCTTTAACAAAGCATATTTCTGTCTTTAAAATTCCCGTGTGTCACAGTGATCGATGTCGAAATAGCAAAATAATTCCCCGACTGCTGCCAAAATGTGCACAAAAGCAGCTTTGCTACTTGGGTGGGATTTAGTGGCCTGATGCTACTTCAATTTTTCAATTTAATAAGCTTAAATCCAGATTCCAGATGGATTTTGCATGCAGGGAAGGACTCACCCCAAAACTACACCCCAAATTTCTGAATGATTTGATCTGACCATGTGCCGGCAATGATTAAATTTCAGAACTGATAAAGAGTTTATACCTTTTAGCCAATAGGAAATTCATTCACAAAAAATTGATTATTTTTTTTTTCCCCTCCGCTGCTAAAGACTGTAGACTTACGGGGAGTGAAGGGAGGATAGTTGAAGTCATTCTCATCACAGCCGCTACTTGAGCCTGGAACAAAGTTGGCTACTTCGTTCATATCCTGAAAAATGGCAAATTTGGATTTCAAATGGCGGCCATAACGATGATTCGTAACAGCGACGCACCCTGGGCTTTCAGTCAAATGTGTGGTTACAAACCCACTGGCAGTGACTGACTTCAGGGCACGAGAAGCAGGGAAGGGACAAAATCCACGAGACATTAAACTCCTCACCCAGCAACCAGAACAATGATTTACAAAGTAACCAAAGGAAAAAAAAGTAATAATAACTTTCTGAATGTCAAAAAGATGATTTTCAGTGGTGGTGGTGGTACTCCACCCCAGCGGGAGAAATTACAAACTTTAACTCTTCCCAAATCCTGCGACATAAACAGAGATTATTTGTTCCAGCCTGAGAAAAATGACTTTATTGAGTTAAAACCCAAAATCCTACAGAGGGTGTTCATCTTTTCTTTAGAGGGAAAATAATTTCTCCCAAAACATACCGTTTATTAAAATTAAAACTTAGTGTAGTAATTATGATCCTGGGCACAGTCAGTTCTTGGATAAATTAAATCGCACAATCACAGAATGGTAGGGGTTGGAAGGGACCACTGTGGGTCACCCAGCCCAACACCCTGCCCAAGCAGGGTCACCCAGAGCAGGCTGCACAGCACCGCATCCAGGTGGGGCTTGAGTATCTCCAGAGAAGGAGACCCCCTAGGCTCCCCTGGC